AAAATTATACCAAAAATTAGGTTCTCGGTTCAGTTCAACCCAAAAATTTATCTGATCATCACCGAAAATTATAGGCGTTGTCCTTGACCATACATTGATCCTCTTGGAAAATTACAAAGCGACCAGAGCTATATTTCCGCCCTCTAGTGTGGTAAAGAGTTACTAAATAATATCTGAATACATAAGCACCTGTAAATATTTAAGTGTAACTCCCACATCTGAGTACATACGACCATATAATTGGTATCAATTTAAAGGTCAACCACTGCCCTTGGATATACCAACAACTTTTCGGGTCTATGTCCTTCAAAGGTAAATCTATACGCTATAAAATACAAAGTTTGTAATTATTCACACAAAAGTTAGGGTTAATTTGACCCGCTAAATATTGACCGATCCTTATCAAAAGAGGCATGCTTATTCTTTGGCCCAATCCCCTTCTCCATGCAAAAATTCGCGATGTTTGGGTCATAATTGCGGCCTCTAGAGCGACCAGAAAAACCGATAAAAATTAAGTATTTGGTCCATTTCATCCCCTAGATATTAACCGATCTTTGCCAAAAATAATAGGGGTCTTCATTGGCCAGAACCCATCCTACGTGCAAAATTTCGTGAAGATTGGTCCATAACTGTGGCCTGTATCGTGTTTACAAAATATAATGGACAGACGGACGGACGGACACACATGTCTAGATCGACTCATCTAGTCGAGATTTGAAGATCGTTATCCTTAAAGGTGGGTCTAGGACCAATATTTCGTGGCGTTACAAACTCTTGGGGCTGCACAAAGCTGTAATACCCTGACAACATAGTTGTGTAGTGTTTAATTAGGCGAGACGTTTTTAGGGGAGCTACAGGTGCGAGAAACCGGAATGCCAAATAGGTGGGAAAATATGAGGAACGCTGCGAAATATTGGTCGATCTAAACATGTGTGTCCGTCTGTCCATTACAATTTGTATATTATTACGGGCCACATTTATGGACCAATCGTCGGGACCGTTTCTGGAGTTGTCTATCGTTTTTGGTAATGATCGGTTAATATTTATGGGGTGAAATGGACTTTATTTTTGTATTTTTTCTGATCGATCTGGAGGCTACAATTATGACCCGAACATCATGAAATTTTATACAGAGAAAGGAGTCTGGCAATGGAATAAGCATGACTGTTTTGATGAAGATCGGTCAATATGATGAAAATCGGTCAAAAAACCGGTCAATATGATGAAAATCGGTCAAATGAACCTTTTTGTGAAAAATTACAAAATTTCTATTCTTCTATGGCGTGTATATTTACTCCTGAAGGACATAATCCCGAGAAGTTGATAGTATATTCAAGAGGAGTATGTGACCTTTAAATAAATACCAATTTTATTGCTGTATGTAGGAGATCTACTAAGATAACTACAGGTGTCTAAGTGTTTTGGTTTGGTTAGTATTACCACACTAGAACGCGTATAGTCGCTCTGTCCGAACTGCTGCAAGCATTGATTTTTTAGGTAATTTTCGCCCGTTTTTTGGTCACACATTGTGCGGGTTTTCAGTCATAACTTGACGAATGTTGTTTTTTTAAGTTCTTAAGGGTTGGCGGTTTATCTGCCTGGCCTTTCCGTAACCCCAAAAAAGTATAATGGTGTCAAATTGAATGATCTTGGTGGCCAGTTGATATCGCCACGATGAAAAATGTAACATTGCAATAAAGTGGAACCGTCTTGTTGAAACCACATATTCTCTAAGTCGTGCTTTTTGCTGCAACAATCGTTCCATCGTCCTATCACACATTCGGACCAAAGAGCGCACCAAACAGTGACTTTTTCAGGATGTAATAACCTCTCTCCAATTACTTGCGGATTCTTATAACGCCAAATATGACAATTGACGTACCAGTAGTTGGCACGATTATGTAAAACATTGGGGATGTGTCAAAGTGTGTTGCACCAATATTGAAAATTTTCCGAAAATACGTAGATCATCATCCATGAATCCTTACAGCCACTTCTGTAAAAAACTGTAGCACAAACCAATTTTTCCCCCCATAAAACACTAAGTGACAAATTACAGCCACTTCAATCTACTAATACGTCAAATGCGGCTGGACCTTTTTATAAGGTCTATGTTAGAATCCACTTTCAATGTCGATTGATCGCCCAAAGATGTACCTATTTCACGGTATATCATGTCACGATTGGGTACAATATAAATCATTAAGCATTATCGGTTTCGAAAAATTGAATTTTGTTTTTTTTTTATTTAATTTGAACTAATTCTAGAATGTCCCTTTAAAATTTCAATGGAAAACCTCCACAACTTATTGTGTCAGCATCAAGTGACGGCAAGAGTGCTTCTCAAACTTTAAACGCGTTTTTCCCGGAACAGTGTATTTACGAATGTCGGGCACGATAACTTAATTTGTTCCAAATTTTAACACGTTATTCTGTACATACATATCTATACTAATAAAAGAGTAAAGTGATTGACTGACTGACTGATTTAACGATTCATTAATGCCCAGACGAAACGGCTGAAGCTAGAATCTTGAAATTTTGGGTGAGTGTCACTCTTGGTCCAAAGGTGACAGATAAGGCTGGGTTTTTGGAAATTCGTACAAGAACGGTACGAAAAGTACTAAAAAGAACTAAATGTGATACCATTTGTATTTGGCGAACCGGTAGAACTGAACTCTAAAATTTGGGTTGGTGGTCGTTGATTGAGTGTAGGATAGATGTACTAAAGGGTTTTTGGAAATTCGAACCATAACTATCCGAAAAGTACGAAAATGTACTAAATTTGGTACAATTTCTTAGCATGTGAATGGAGTGAGCTAAAAACTTGAAATTTGGAATGTAAAATAACGTTGAGAAGTAGGGTCTATATGAGGAGAGTTTGGAAAGCGTGTACTCATGTGTACGAAAAGTACTATATGGTACTATATTTGGTACAAATTTGATTTGGAGGTACAAATCGAGCTGGAATCCTGAAAATTGAAATTACCGTCGGAGTGTAGGATTGGGATATGTACGTAGTTTTGGAAATTTTTACTTATGTGTACAAAAAGTACTAAATCGTACTATAATTGGTACAATTTGGATTTGCGTGAACCAATAGATCTGGAACAATGAAGTTTGGAGTTAGGATCATTGTAGGGATGTAGGATTAGGGTCAGGATTCAGTTTAAGAAAATAATACTTATGGGTACTAAATGGTACTAAATTTGGTACAATTTGAATTTTAGGTGAACCAATAGAGCTAGAATCATGAAATTTGGAGTCAGGATCACTGTTTAGGTGTAAGATTGAAATATGTAGGAAGTTTTAGAAATTTGTACTAATGTATACTAAATTTGGTACAATTTAAATTTTGGGTGAACCGATAAAGTTGAAATCGTGAAATTTTGATTTAGGATCACTGTGGAACACTTTGGAAGTGTAGGATTGGGGTATGTAGGATGTTTTGGATATTTGTACTAAATTTGGTACAATTTAAATTGTTCGTGAACCGATAGAGTTGGAATCCTGAAACTTTGATTTAGGATCACTGTGGGAGTGTATGTTTGGGTTAAGTAGGAAGTTTTGGAAATTCGTACTACTGTGTACTAAATTTTATACTATTTGGATTATAATTAAGATTTTATCTAATTCATGATTACAATTGGATTGCATGATGTAGGTAATAATGGAAATTTTTACTTATGTGTTCTAAGTGGTACTAAATGTGATACAAATTGGATTTAGGTGAACCGATAGAATCCTCAAATTTAGTATAGAGGTAGATTTCTGTTGCGGTCGGAATGGGTCTAAATTTAATAAAATTTTAATGATGGTCGATATAGGGTTTTAAATACATCCCACATTCGCTGTTTTCGATGTTGGAAAAATAAATAAAAATTATTTTTTTATTTTCTTTTCGTTTATTTAAAATATAGTTGTTTTCTTTTGTATAAAAAATATATATTTTATATATGTATAATATCATTAATAAATAAAAATAATTATAAATATTTTTGTTCTTAAACAATTAATGACTTAGATTTTTGGTTTTGCAATTTTTAAAATTCAATTTTTCTCGTTAAATTAAATACAAGTTCAGATTATTTACAAGTTTTTAATAAATATAAAAAATATATAGAATGTATAATATAAATATCTATAAAAAAATATACAATTAATATTTTAAAATTTTCTTAATTTTTAAATGTTTAACTATCACAAATTGTGGGGATTTTGTTTTTTTTTGTTTAAATAAATTTCTTTGGTATAAATATTTAAGTTTGTTTTTAATTTTTTTTTTGAAATTTTAAAAATATAAATTTGTTTGACTTTTTCCATATACAATCCATGAAAGCTTTTAGTACAGTTTTAAAGTTGAGGACACCAAAAAAGTCTCTAAAAGTTTTACAGTGGTTACATTGTATAATTATTGAAAACTGTTATTTCTATTTATTGTGATTCGTTCAACTTCATTACTTGGACAACCTAAAAGCTTTTGGAGCTTTTTTTCAGTATTAAAAAAATATTCCTCGAAAATTTTTGATGTGTTATGTGTGCTTGAACTATTGAAAATTGTTTTTTATTCGTTAGATCTTTAACAAAGCTTTCTAGAGCCTTTTCACAACATTTAATGATTTTATGAAGCTTTTGGTCCATCGACCAAAATTTGTATTTTTATCAATGATCGTATTTTATTATAGAACCATGCTGATATAAATGATATTTTGTCCTTCGCTGTTTAGTGAATGTTCCTCCTAAAGCTATATTTAGTTCTTTCGAAGTGCTGCATAAAGCTTTTTTCTTGAGTTGTGCAATATCTGTTTTATGTTTTATTTTACTTGATGAAAGAAATAGCTTTTGGTCCTTCGTTGGGAATACTCCCAAAAGCTGTCTGAATTTCCCAATTTCGTTTTCGGTATTACCGTTCCTGTAACTTCGATTATTGATTGATTAATTTATAAGACTTTGATATGCCAAGTCCGGGAATTTGTTCCCTTCTCACATTCTTCCTCTCTCCCTCTCTGCTTAGTAAGCCATTTCGGCACCCCATGGCCGATAGGGTTTCGAACCATTAGCAGTAACATAGACACCGGTTTGATGATTATATTCCTGGGCCACACTCACCGGGTATTGTGTTGGCATGGCGGTATAACCCAAAGCAGAGGCTGGAACGGCAGAGGGCACTTGACGATGTCCTGGGTGGACATGGGCATTTGTTAATTCAATGTATGTGGCAGCCTGATGATCCTGATGTGTGGCACCGCTGTGATCGTGGGAGTAGTGGTGATGGGTAGGTGTTTGTTGTTGTTGGGGTTGAGTTTGTTGTGTTTGCTGTTGAAGATGGGTGTCATGTGAGGTGGGTGTTATTTGGGGATGGGCTGCAACATTTTGTTGTTGCTGCTGTTGAGATTGCTGTTGTTGTGCCTGTTGCTGGGTTTGAGATTGCTGTTGTAGGGGAGAGGTAACTTGTCTCGCTTGATTGTGATTGATTAAACCATGACCATCCTGCGCAGATCCAACGGAATTTGAACGCACACTATGTTGTTGTTGCTGCTGCTGTTGTTGTTGTTGTGAATGCATAGCATTGTTGTTGGGTGACGAACTCAATGTGGGATATTGATGCAGGGCAGAGGGCAAATTGGGAACATACGACGAATTACTGTGACTTGAGGTGTGCACTGTCGATGCCGCCGAACTGGTGGCCGAGGGATATGCCTGATATGGTGTCACACCACAATTGGGTTGATATGATGAAGCAGCAGCAGCGGCTGCAGCTCCGGGATGTACAGTCCATGGTGTTGCTCCCGGTGTGGCTGTGCAATTTTTCAGTGACATTTCACGTTGCTGTACAAAATACTGCAGGTGGGACATAAGTCGCAGACGTAGAGGATCCTGAATGTCCATACCCTCAATGGTCACCAAATATCTAGCCACCTCGGCAGCACATTCACGAAATCCGATAATGTGATAGTCCATGGCGAAACGTTGTGGATCATAACCCAAGGCATCGGTTCCTGGAAGAAGACACAAAGAAAAAATACGGAAATTTAATAACTTGTTCGGCAATTTTTGTGTGTTATGTAAATCACGAGGTTAATGATGGGATTAAAGGAAAATCAACAAAACATTCCCACGACGTTGAAACCACCCCTTCTTCGTACCCTTATAATTAATTACCAGAAAACTAAAAACAAAAAAATCTAATAGGATTTATTGTGTCCCGTGTTGGTGCGAAATAGGGGTGGCACGTGGTATGGGAATCTCTGGATGATTTTTTCACACGACATAGCCAAGTGCATTCGCTAACTGACTGACTGCTGAGTAACTTCTTTTTTTAAGGGGTGGTAATGGTTAGTGGCCATAACCATCCTTTATCGCCCACTATTATAAAGCGTGAGATAATTGTTTGAATATTTTTGTTGTTGTTGTAATATTGACGATAACAATAACAACCAGTGTCGTTGGAGTGCTTAAAAAGTGTGGGAAATGTTTTCATTATCAGGTTGTTTTTCCTATTTCGATGGAAAAGTTAAGAGTTTCCATTTTTGCTTGTGGGTGAGGGGAGGTATGGTAAATGTATGGGATTGGACATAATTGCGCGGAAATCGTGGGAATTAATTCTAATAGGAATTTGAAGAGGATATTTTGTAGATTTTTTGATAAAAGGAAAAATGATCAAATAGAAAAATTTAGGTCTATTCAAAATTAAAAAAGTTTTGAAAATTTCAATTATTTTTTTTAATGTTTTTTTTTTCGAATAAAAATTTTAAATTTTCTAGAATTGTTTTTTTTTTGAGAAAATCTAGATTTTTTATATATATATTTTTTCACTTAACAACATTTTTATTTTTTTAATAAAAAAAAACTTTTAGATTTTTTTAATAAAAAAAAACAAAAAATTGTGAAATAATTGGAATTTGAAGATTACATTTTTTTTGAAAAAAATTCACATAAAGAGAAATTTAGATCTCTTCAAAATTAAAAAAAAAAACGTTGAAATTTTTCAATTACATTTTTTAAATTTTTTTTCATAAAATTTTTAAATTTTTGAAATTTTTAAGTAAACAATTTCTATTTTTAAAATAACATATTTTTTTAAATTTAGGAATATTTTTTAATTAATTAAAGTTTTTTTAATTTTTCCCTTTATTAAAAATTTCGAAATTTTTAATTTTTTTTTGTATTTCGAAATTTAAAAAATTTTTTTTTATTTTGAAATAATTTTTATTGCAATATAATTTTAGAATTTTTTTGAAAAGTTTTATTATATTTCAATATTTGACTTTTTTTAATTTTTGAAATTTCAATATTTTTTAATTTTAAAAAAATATATTTTATTCTTTAATTTCAAAATATTTATATATAGTTTTTTAAATTAGGTAAATAAAATTATTTAAAAAAAAAAATGAAATAATTAGAATTTGAAGATGCTAGTTTTTTAGAAAAAAAATTCACATAAAGAGAAATTAAGATCTCTTCAAAATTGAAAAAATTGAAATTTTTTTTAATTTTTTTATTTATTTTTATTTTTTTAAAATTTTATTTTATACTTTAATTTCAAAATATTTATATATAGTTTTTTTTTTTTAATTTTGTAACTAAAATTATTTCATTATGAATTAGAAAACATTTTGATAACTTTTATTTCTGAATTGGCATCATAAAGAGAAATTTAGATCTCTTGAAAATTAAAAAAAAAAACTATGAAAATTTTCAATTTCTTTTTTTTAATTTTTTCCTAAAATTTTTAAAATGTTAAGTAAAAAAAATTATTTTTATAATAAAATATTTTTTTTTTAAATTTAGGAATATTTTTTTAATTAATTTAATTTTTTTTTTTAATTTTTTCCTTTATTTTGAAATTTTAATTTTTTTGTATTATTCAAAATTTCGAAATTTCAAAAATTGTTCAATATTTTTTCATTTTTTTTAAAGTTTTATTACATTCAATATTTGATTTTTTGAAATTTCAATATTTTTTATTTTTTAAAAATTTTATTTTATACTTTAATTTCAAAATATTTATATATTTTTTTTTAAATTTTGCAAATAAAATTATTTCATTATGAATTAGGAAATATTCTGATAACTTTTATATCTGAATTGAAAATTTCAATTTTTTTTAAATTTGCGTATTTTTTGTTTTTGATTTTTAATTATTATTTTTAAATGATTATATTTTTTGTAGTGATCATTTTTATTAAATTTCGATTTCACTTTTTTTAAATATATATATATATATATCGATGACATTTTTCGCTACAGCCTTTTCTTTTTCCAAAATTTAATTCAATTTTTAATATTTTCCCTCTTCTACTCTGTTGTTTTTAATCACCGTTTTTTTTAATTGTATTTTTTTCATTTTCAATATTTTTGTTATTGTATTTTTTTTTAATATTTTTGTTATTGTTATATTTTTTTAATATAATAGTTCACTATTTCTCACTTTGTAGTCTGTTTTTATTTTTCAAAAATTTATTAATTTTTTTTAATATTTCCCTCTCTCACTTTGTTGTTTCCTTTAATCCCTTATCACAACTTCAAAATATATTTATTTTCAATTTTTTTCCAAAATTTTGAAAAAAATATTTACCTTTGGCTTGTAAATTTTTCAAATGTTCCACGGTGAGTTGCAGAATTTCAGCCTTTTCCAATTTGGAGGAGCCTTGCTTTTCATACGCCGAGGGTACTAGGCGCTTGAGTTCGCATAGCGAAGAGTTGATGCGATCGCGGCGTTTCTTTTCGATGACACCACGACGCTTTTTGCGGCTCATCATTTGGCAGTTACTGCCATCGGCAGGAGAAATTCTAAAAAGAAGAAGAAGAAAAAAAATAAATAAAAGGTCATTCTCCAAAGAACTTATTTTCAAATTGGAGTTTCCAATTGGAATTTGGAAAAAAATCCAATTGTTGCTTTGGCTAATAAAAAAATACGTACTGTTCCTTCGATGATTCTTCGGAATATAAATCTTCACAATCACTTTCCGATATGGCGCGTTTTAGTGATGACGATTGGGATTGTGGGGGTGGTACCCAATGATTTTGCGGCGTAGTTGGTACTGCGGCGGCGCCATAACTCCAATGCAGGGCAGCATTATTGTGATGCATATTCAAATTGTGATCCATTTTTTGTAATTGATTTCGTTTTATTCAAACTTTCTTCACAAATAAAATTTTTATATTCAAAACTTCACTTCACTTAAATATTTTTCTTTTTCAAATTTGGTTTAAATATTTTTCAAAATTATTTTTCAATATTTTTTTGTTTATAATTTCAATTTTGTGTTTCAAAAAATATAAATTTTTTAAAAATAGTTATTTTTTCCGTTCGTTGTTTACCGGAGCGGAGTTTAGAGCACGTGACTTATCGTGTGCAAGAACGACGTTCGACTGATTTTGAAACGCACGACCAGCATGTGCCACAACTCAAACCTTAGCGAAGTTTTCGTCAATCCTGCATAGCCAAGCACCAATAAAATCAAAACGTAACGAAAAACTACCCTCCTAACTAACCACCCCCCAAAATGGTTAGGCAAAGTTTATGATAAGGGTTAAGATTTCGTCCTCTATGATCTTTACACCACATATAGAGCATACACAAGAGAGAGTGAGTGAGAGAGAGAGAGCAGAGCGGAGCGTGTGGCTGAGCAGGAAAGGGAAACAATGTTAACACAGTGGTTTTTCGTTAATGTCCTTCACAACGCGCTCCAAACTATTCTTGCGGCCAGCAAACGAGCAATTATTCCAATAAAACGACACACACAAGTGCATTTCTAGACTTCGTTTCGACTTCGTGTTGTCTTCGTAAAACAATACAAATAGTTATTCGCATTATCCTCTTGTGTGTGCGTGTTTGCATCACAACAATGAGCCGACGTTTATCATTTGCATTGCATCCTGTCGAAGTTCTGGCCGAGAGCATTCTTCCATTATCTCCTCTGTGGCCGTGTGGTGACATTGTTGCACGTTTGCGCGTTTTGCCACTTGACAATAATGTTGTGTCAACAATTGCCGGCTTATAGGTGTTGTTCCTATGACCGCCAATATGATGATGATGACAACGACCATGGCCATGGCCGTCGTCATCTGTTTGTTGTAAATTTGTTAAGATGCTTGTCGTCGCAGTTGCCGCCGCCGTCATTGATGTTTGTTCCAATGAACGACTGAATATGGAGCACACGTTCCAAACTTATGCTGGTCGTGTGTGCCCCCAACAAGTGCATCACAGTCTGCTGTTGGGCGTTTTTATATGGAAATCGAATTCTCGCTCTCTTTGAGAGGTCACTGGCCGTCAGTGAAGTTGTTGCTTTGGATCAAGTGACGTATGCCGCCCGCACACAGCCTGCCTACCGCCTGTGGCGCCCGACATACTCGTTAATATGTAGGTCAGATTTCTAGGTGGAACAGGTGAATTTTTGTTTTTGGTGTCAAAGTCAGTCAGTAAGCTCATGGAATTGGTATTGGGAAAGGCTATGTCTGTCATTATGTTTGATAAGGAATTAATTGGTATTATGCGGTTGGATTATGGATATCAAGGTCGTTGTTGTTTGCACTTGATTAGTCGATCTTTGTTTTTGTTCGTGGCTTAACATTTCTGAATATTTTGAAAGTTCGGCATCGACGCGCTTCAGATCTGTACTGTGTTTTTCGTCTACTAATGCCGGGGTAAAAATCGTATGTTTCTAGTCAGAATCGGATAGTGTCACTGTCTGATGTTTTTGTAATTAACATATAATATATAAATTCCGATTGCGAATTAAGCCACAGAATAAAATCCACTCACAGGAACTCAATTCTGTATATAAGAATATAATATACTAGCATAGGCCCGCTACGTTGTTAGCGAAACTTTTTATAGTTAAATAAATAAACATTATTTTAGCTACGCAATATACTTTTGGATTAAGTACAAATTTGAAATATTTTTATTATAGGTTTTATATCTTAATATGTTTGTTTTAATCTCAGATCTTACTCCGTATTTCTTTCGTACAGAAACGTTAATGCTTCTATCCTACTAAATCGAGTACAAGTTCTGTAAGTTTACTATTTTCTCGATCGTCCCGATGGACTGATGTTAAAAGTTCTATAATACTGTGTTAACCTTTTTTGTTCCTTCCGGTAATTTAATACTAATGGTAAAATATCTAGTTCGTTTTAGTACTGATAGTAGTACCCTTATAGTACAAATTACAATTTTGCACAGCGCATCATTTTTTATTCAGAGACCTGCCTTTATAGTGAAGATTTCCATTAAAATTGCAGAAATTTAGTATTTCTGGTGCGTTACGTATTACAAAATACTCAATGGTATTGTCGGTATTTTTAGTATATCCTCATAATAATGATCCAGCCCATTATTCATTACATCAAAAGATCGATCCAATGTGGTTGGAAACATCATTGGAAATATCAGTATTGTTATTTTAGAAAATTTGGAACTTTAGCATTTAAAATTGACTACACTTTAGTACTTGTGATGTTCAGCGGCTTATTGCATAGTTTTACTTATTTGTATTTGAAGTCTCGCCTGTTTTTCACTACACTAGAAATTTTAACCAAAATTCACATAATCATTCGCTGTAGTATAGATTCATGTGGGATTCGAAACTATATTTCATATAACCGTATATATTTCCATTAAACATTTTATTTACCGTAGTCAAAGAGTAATACTAAAATTCGGATATCTTTCTCTAACATTTTCTATTTAGTACTTTTTACTTAAAATTAAAAAAAATACTTTTTTTAATTTGTTTAAACAAAATATACATACAAAATTTCAGGACTCTACCTCTACTCGTTCTGTCGTATAAAATATTTAGTACTTTAAGTACAAATGTCAAACAATATTGCCAAAAGCATTGTTTTTATATCCACCCGTACCGCCGTATACAATGTGTTGTACTTTTTAGTACATTTTAGAAGTTATTAATGCAAAATTTTTATGTATAAATTGTTATTGTCATAGTTCCAGATAATTATTTAATAACAGGTTCCTATCTTCATCCATTCTACCGTATACAATATTTAGTACTTGTATTCGATTCGTATTCTATTTGTTTATAATATACAAAAAATGTTCCCATACTGTGCAATATTTTGTATTAATGATGCCATTTAGTACGAATTTTCAATAAACCAAGCCTGTTAATTATAGTTGGACATTTTTGTACTCTAAATTTACATTTATATTTTTTACCATTCACTATGGTACAATATTTAGCACAAGTTTGTGCATATCGGTCTATTTGTAATAGTTAAGCTACATACTAAATTTCAGATCTCAATCTATGACTTTTCCATTATAAGTTAATATTTTGTACCATTTTAGTACAAATTTCAAAAATATATTAATATATAGCATAGTATTTGTAATAATTAAATCTATGTGCCGTGTTTCAGATTTCTATTCCTACCGGTTCCATTATACTACAGTATTTAGTATTAATTCCAAAAAGTTATGCTTAGAGTAAGCTACATACAAAATTACAGATTTCTATTTCTACCAGTTACAATGTATTTACATATTTAGTACTTTTTATCGCAACATTAGTGCTAAATTCAAAAAAAAAAAAAAAAAATGGCATAGTATTCTATTTGTAATAGTTAAAGCTATATGTGAAATTTCAGAACTTTTTAATATATTCTAGTACTAATTTAAAAAAAAATATGTTTGCCCATCATTCTACTTGTAATAGCTTAAGTTACATACCAAATTTCAGATATCTACCCCTACCTGTTTCATCGTAGTATAATATTTAGTACTAATTTGCAAAATTTGTTCACACATTCTGATTTGTTTATAAATGACAGAGCTGCATACCAAATTTTAGAGTCGTAGTTCCAACCGTTCTGGCGTAATACAGTTTTTAGTACTATTTAGTACCATATTTGTTCTAATTTCCAAAAAATATTTTTTGTACATCATTTTATTTTTAATGACTTAAGCTACATACCAAATTTCAGACATCTATCTCTACATTTTCCATCGTAGTATAATATTTAGTACATTTTAGTACCTTTAGTACTAATTTCCATAACTTGTTCACAAATTCTGATTTGCTAATCACTGACAAAGCTGCATACCAAATTTCAGAGTTCTACTTCCAACCGTTCCGGAGTAATACAGTTTTAGTACTTTTTAGTACCTATTAGTACTAATGTCCAAAAAATATTTTTGCACAGTATTCTCTTTGTAATGACTTAAGCTCCATACCAAGTTTCACTTATGAATCTTCACCAATTCCATTCAAATACAATATTTAGTACTTTTTAGTACATCTAAGTACTAAATTCCAAATTTTTTCACAAATTCTAGTCCGCTCGCCATAGACAAAGCTACGTGCCAAATTTCAAAGTTCTACATCTAACCGTTCCCGCGTAATACAGTTTTTAGTACTTTTTAGTACCTTTTAGTACGAATTTCCAAAAACCCCGCCTTATCACACGCCTACTCACCAAACCCCACCTACATGCCAAATTTCAAGCTTCTAGCTTTAGCCGTTTCGTCTGGGCGTTGATGATCAGTCAGTCACTTATAACGCAACTCTTTTATATATATAGATAGATAAGAATACTTACATAGCTGTTTCGGGGCAGAACATTTGTTACATAAGCCAGCTTTTCCAATTTAAAATACCATGTTTCAATATTTTATCTTCCACTTGATCTTTCCATCGATTTTTTTTTTGCGTAAACCATCAGTTGGCTCGCTTTTATACACTTTTTGAACTGGAGCATCCTATTCCAATCAAAACGATACGTATAACAATGCCGATGTCCGAGAAAAGCTAGTACAACTCATGGTTCATTCGACGGCGATATTCACCTTTAACGCAGATCGGTCCATAGATCTTTGAGAGAATTTTTCTCTCAAACTCTCCAAGAGCTGTCTCTTCTGCTTGCGTAAGTACCCATGCTACCGATCTATATAACTGGTAGTATCAGCGCTTTGTAAAGTGTGAGTTTGGTCTGGCGAGAGGTGACCTTGTTTCTAAATCGTTTACATAGACCATAGTGGCATCTGTTGGCCAACACTATTCTCGTTCGAATTTCAAAACTGATGTCATTAGTTTTATTTATGGCGGTACCAAGGTATATTAAATCTTTCACTACCTCGAAGCTGATG